TCCTATGTTTCTTTTGGTGCGAAGATTCACCAACTAATTCCATACCTAGTCCAAACAATTTTATAAAGTACAAAGTAACATAAAGTTTAGCAAACGAATAAACAGCCCAATAAACATAAAATCTACAWRATTGTAAACRGAAAACTTCTAAAGCAGTGGCTTGTTTACAATTGTTACCATCCTTAGCTTATTAACATGCCTCATCCTAAATAACAATTCCTCTGTTATRAAACTATAAAGTACAAAATTATAAACAGAAAACTTCTAAAGCAGTGGCTTGTTTAGCCCACACATTGTAAACAGAAAATCGAAAGGGCAGTAGCTTGTTTACCCCACACATTTTATTAATGGTTTCAGATAGACATCGATAGTGATAGCAATCTTCAAAACGGAAAATCTAAACAACAAGTGATGGCAATCTTCAAAAAAACCCCATCTAAATAGCAAGATCTAAACAGAAAATCTAGTAAAAAAAACTGAAAGCAATCTTCAAAAAATAGAGGATGTAACCGGCGACCGACGAAGCTGTGGAAAGCAAAAAACAGAGGATCTAACGGGAGACAAACCTGATACAAGCGAGACCGACGAACGTGAGCAAAGCACGACCGACGAGTAGCTGAGGAAACCGGCGACCAACGAAGCTGTGGAAACGGCGACCGAAGACACCGGCGCCGGAGAAGATGAAGGCGATAACCGGAAGGCGACGACTTGGGGAGACGATGGGTGCGGCTGTTCTCTAAAGGGTGTGGAAGGGTAAATAGGGAAGAAAGGGTTATCTGAATGGTTTAGTGAAGTCATACCCTCAAAATGGTTAAGAGGCTTGTGTAACCATTAAGAGGGCTGTTTTTTTTGCCAAACACATTACACCTCTGACCGATTAAGAGGTTGACAAACAGCCCCTAAGCCCAACACCAGCATTTAGGCTCCATCCAAGAACCCCAATTCCATTTTTAGCCGTTTGTTTTTTTTTTTTTTTTTTAAGTAATCTTCCTCCTTCCACTTTCATTCAACCATTCTATTCTATGCGGGATGCATATCCTTTTCTTTTTTATCCACCTCTCACATGCTTTTTTTTTTCTTTGATTCCATGTAAGATGCAAACAATAATGTGAGAAAAAAAATGATTTATAATACTTAAAAGTTGTCACATGATTATCCATTGTTTTTGCTTTGCTTTACATAGATATAAAAATATAAATTATACTACAACTATAACTTCGACAAATTTGATGGTTTTGGTTTATCGTCAACTTTATACAATTTTATATATTAGTTCTTGACATATAATTTTTTTTATAAAAGATGGTTGGCCCAAAAAAAAAAAGACAACCTAAAAATTGTACAAACTCTCTTAGTATTATAAGATATATAACTTCGTTTTAAATATTTACTTCCTTATTTTGTATTATTTGGTTGGTTTTGATTTCAACCATGATTATATATTTTGTATTATTTATTTGGTTCATCCTTTAATCTATTATATTGATATTGACATCGGTTGATGATTGATTTCAAATTCATTTTTTCTTCTTCTTTCACATACTTATCTTCGTCTTCGAATATATCACATTCTCATGAATTGGCGGCTATACCTTAACATGTAACTTCTTTAGGTTTATTTTATTTTATTTTACTTATAATCATATAATCAAAGTTTAGTTAATATAAAAAGGTTATCATAGATTCAATTTTAATTATAACAAATTAAAAGAATCAATACATTGTTCATTATATTATTTTAAAGTTTTTAATTCAACTTTATCATATAAATATATACTAAAGTCATATAATTATTTTTCATTGTTATTTTAAAGTCAATTGATATAAAAAAATGATATAAAAATACGGCCATCCAAGTAAAATAACCTTATCATCAAGCCTCATGAGTTGACACGATGAATTTCATTCTTCTTACTTATACATACCTTCTTATTCCAATCTATTTATTCTCTCACCAATGTGGGATATCTCAAACTCAACCACGATTTCCCAACATTTCAATACTCATTTTTTATGATTTCACATTAATATCTCTTGGTTTGCACGGTGATCAAAACTCAATTCAAGAAAAAAAAATGTAAAATCCTCAACTCGAGCAGAAGTGCAATGTGTCTGAAAACCCAGGATCGTGTTTATATTTATAACACACGTCCAACACCGTAAATCACGATTTGAAGAATACTAAGATCAGATGAAAGCACGTCATTAAGTCAACACTTTCGTTCTATATATAAGTAATATAATAGATACTTAAACTACATTTGTTATTATAAGTACTGCAATAATCACAATTTTTGTTTAAAAAAATGCATCATTTGCATTCGTTTTCCACAAATCTTTTACCAATTGGTTGGTTTTAATTTCAACCATGGCTATAGATTTCAAAGTTCTGTCACGCATTTATACATGCATCATCTTCTTCCAGACTATCATCTATCTACCAGTGTGAGATGATGAAAGTCAATCTTATTTCATATTTGAGGAACACTCAAATCTCATGTTGCCAAGTCATCATCCTTGGTTTCACTTTTATATTTGTACTATAATTTTTACCATTTAATTGGTTTTGATTTCAACCATGGTATAGATTTCAAAGACGGTCATCCAAAATAAGACAATCTTATGAGGCAAACCCCATGATTTGAACAAAGACATCCAATCCACCTTTCTTATACACTTCAATTTGTTCAAATCTTTTAACTCCTCATCAATATGAGACAACTGAAACTCAACCACAATTCACCATATGATAATACTCAATTCTCATAGTGTCACCTCAATACCCCAAGGTTTTCTTTTATATATATAAAGATAAAGTTTTTTTTTTTCCCCATTTGGTTGGTTTTCATCCTAATCATGGTTATAGATTTCAAATAGGGTCATCCAATGAAATACAAACCTATGAGGCAAACCCCATGAATCAACACAAAGGCACAAATCCATCTTTTTATACACTTACTTTGTTCAAATCTTTCAACTCTTCACCAATGTGGGAGAACTAAAACTCAACCACAATTCACCATTTGAGAATACTTGATTCTAATTGTGCCACCTCATCACCGTAAGGTTTTACTTTTATACTTCTCATGGTGCGACCTCATCACCCCAAGGTTTTACTTTTTTATATATAAAGATATAATAATATGATATAATTAGTTTTGCACTATAATTTCTACCATTTGGTTTGTTTGGTTTCCAACCATAGTTATAGATTTCAAAAAGGGTCGTCCAAAGAAAAACAATTCTATGAGGCAAAATTCATTATTTGAAACAAAAGCATCTAATCCACCTTTCTTATACATTTCATTTCGTTTAAATCTTTCAACTCTTCACCAATGTGAGATATCTCAAACTCAACCACAATTCACCAATACCTCAATACTCAATTCTTATGAAGCAACCTCAAATCTTCCAACTCTTCATCAATATAGGACAACTGAAACTCAACCACAATTCACCATATGATAATATTCAATTCTCATAGTGCCACCTCAATACCCACAGTTTTCTTTGATATATATATATAAAGATAAAGTTTTTTTTTTTTTTTCATTTGGTTGGTTTTCATCCCAATCATGGTTATAGATTTCAAAGAGGGGCATCCAAAGAAAGACAAACCTATTAGACAAACCCCATGAATCAACACAAATGCACCAATCCATCTTTTTATACACTTACTTTGTTCAAATCTTTCAACTCTTCGCCAACATAGGACAACTAAAACTCAAGCACCAGTCACCATTTGAGAATACTCAATTCTCATCGTACCACCTCATCACTGCAAGGTTTTACTTTTATAATTCTCATGGTGCCACCTCATCACCCCAATGTTTTACTTATATATATATATATATATATATATATATAGAGAGAGAGAGAGAGAGAGAGATATATGATAATGTAATATAATTAATTTTGCACTATAATTCCTTCCATTTGGTTTGTTTGGTTTCCGACTGTTATAGATTTTAAAAAGGGTCATCCAAAGTAAGACAACCCTATGAGGCAAAACCCATTATTTGACACAAATACATCCAATCCACCTTTCTTATACACTTCATTTTGTTTAAATCTTTCAACTTTTCACCAATGTAGGATATCTCAAACTCAAGCACAATTCACCAACACCTCATTCTCATGATACCACCTCAAATTTACACTCATGGTTCTTCTTTTAATATAGATTTAGAGGTAAATATAACATATTTAGTTAACCAATTTTGTTAACTTTCAAGCATATCTACAAATCATTTAATATTTATGTTCAACATCTTCCAATATTTTTCATTCTTATAATGTCATCTCCACTCTAATGGTTGTTACTTTATAATATATATTGATTGATATATTGATGATATATATGTATATATATATATATATATATATATATATATTAATGATTGATGATTTATTTAATTCATGTTTTAATTCTCTCTCTAATAATATGTTATCACATAATCATCACGGTGGATGGGAAGGGAGTAGGGACATGAGATTCAAGACGTGTGATCTTTATTCTTAAATTCACCAATTTTAAGTATACCATGCATATTGAACATAAAACCAACCATTCAGTCGTCTCAAGCAACGTGTGCGTATAACCTACTCAGAAACTATATATGTTGGAGTAAGATATGCTACGTATTATTCATGTATCTGGTTTGATCTCCACGTATTTTAATTAATTACATGTGAATTTTTCATTGCTTTTATGCTAATCATTCATAAAAGCTATCAACTTTAATGAATGGCCTCTCCACCATGCAAAAAAGAAATATTCTCACTTTCATTTGGCCTTTGGATCTTTTTCTTTTTTAGGGACCCAACATACCACTCACATAGTGGGGACTCACACGTGTGTGTGTACATATATACATATATACATATGTATGTATGCATGCTCATTCTTTCCTTTTAGCTGACTTTAAAAATCTCCACTTGCATAGCTTTAAAGAGACAATGGCACGAATCATATCTTTGGATCATATAGAAGCATTGCAACAACTTGGTCTTCTAGGATTTATATAGTTTCCCCACGAGAGAAAAGACGCAATAGAATCTATTTCATACTTCCCCGACCCTACTTTCCATGGAATTTATCGGGTTCTTTTGATTTATAATCTATTTAGTACAAAGATTGAGGGTAAGTTGATATCTACAATAAGTTGTTCTCAATATGCAAATAGAAGTTATACATTTACTTTTACGGGTTCTTTGGTCTTGTTTGGCGACTTGCACGACTCGAATTTGCAAGGGTCGGCCTCAATCAGCAACTGAACGATCTCATTCATATTAGGGCGAAGGGCAGCTGTCTTGCATGTACAGCGGATGGCTATGCGAAGAACCTTAATCATCTCATCATTAAAATAGCCCGAAAGTCGCTTGTCCAAAACCTCAATTGCTCCTTCCTTTGTGTCCACTTTGGTTGAAATCCAATAAATGATGTTCTTGTTTTCTCCAAACTCCGCCTCCACGGGCTTCTTCCCAGTTATTAGTTCCATCAACACCACCCCGAAACTATAGACATCGCACTTTGTTGTTGCTTTGGACGAATATGCGTACTCTATGATAATAAACATACACCAAGTAAAACTCAAGGAAGATCAGTTTATGGAACACGAGAGTAAGAAAGTATTAAAGAACTAAAAGTGTCAGGATACATGGAACCTCTTTGAATCTCTCTCTAAAAGAGCCCTTATAAATTGAGGCTTCTACATATATCTAATACAAGTTTAATGGTTTGCGTCTAGCCGATGTGGACTTCAACATGCCCTCTTAAGCAGAGGCTAGCTAGCTGGTGCTCCAAGAATGGAGATGAAAGAGTGTGTCGAGTCCCTAGGTGGGTGCTACACCTCGACCGTGTACCATGTTAGAATATGTAGAACATGTTGAATCTTTTTCTAAAAGAGCCCTTGTAGAGAGAGGTGAGGCTTCTATATATATATATATATATATATATATATATAGTTTGATGGTCTTTGTTTGGTCAATGTGGGACTCCAACATGCCCTCTCAAACGGAGGCTAGACTGTGCCCCCTGAGCAGAGCAAAAGTGAAAAAGTGTTCCTTAGGTGGGTGCTAGACTTTGTCACTGATATCATGTTAAGATATGTGGAAACCTTTTGAATTCTCTCTGAAAGAGCCCTTATAGAGAGAGACAGAGTGAGTGAGTGAGTTCATACATATATATCTATAACTTTTAATGGTCCGTATCTAGCTAATATGACACTGCAACAGTGAAGTTGTACCTGGTGCTAAGTAGCCATAGGACCCTGCAACAACCGTGGTGGTGGAGTCTTTCCCTCTAGCCCTTAGAACTTTCGCTATGCCGAAATCCGCAACTTTCGGCTGTAAATTTCTGTCGAGGAGGATGTTGGTGGACTTGATATCTCTATGAATGATCGGCGGCAGTAGATCATGGTGGAGATAGACCAAACCTTGTGCCACACCAACTGCAATCTGATGGCGAGTCGGCCAATCCAAAAGACATTTACCTCTATGAAGAGCATCCCACAAGTTTCCATTGGGCATATATTCATAAACCAACAAGTTGCAATCCAAACTAGAAAAGTAGCAATACAGCTTGACTATATTCTTGTGCCTTATGTTTCCTAGAGTCTCCACTTCTGTTTTCAACTCTTTGTTCATAATCTGCTGATCATCTGAACCATCATCTTTCGTTTTCTGACTCCAAAGTCGCTTTACAGCAACAACTTCTCCATTGCTGAGATCAATCCTGTAAACAGTTCCGGACCCTCCATGCCCAACAACGTTCTTGTCGATCATGGCTTCCACGATTTCATTCTGATCGAAGCTTATCCGATGAAAGCTTTTCACACTGTATGAACAATATGAAGACGACCACGTTTCTTCGTTTTTTAGATCATCTCTTTCTTTACTAAGCCAGCGTCTCAGAAATAGAATACCCCCAATGACAACAAACCCAACCGAAACTAGAATAACCCAAATATAGTCCACTTTCTTCTGATTATAAACCTCTGAACAAATGGCGAAATTTTGATCTGATAAATTAGGGTACTCAGAAATACACAGTTTTGGGTTGCCTAAGAAACTTTCTAGCTGTCCTCCCTTGATAAAAGATTCTGGTATTGGTCCAGAAAGATGATTATATGAAAAGTTCATGGAGCTTGGAAGCAAATCACAAAGGGTTTCTGGGATACCACCTGTGAAGTGATTTCTAGAAAGATCAAGAACATTTAGAGATGATAGTGAAGAGAGTGAATCAGGGATGTAAGAATCAAGTCTATTTCCTTGCAGCAAGAGGAGATTTAGCCTTTTCAGATGGCCGATTTCTTGAGGTATTGGACCAGAAAGAAGGTTGTTACTAAGATCAATCTTTACAAGATTGAAAAGCTTAGAGATTTCAGAAGGGATAACTCCAGAGATCCTGTTATTCTGCAAGAATAACTCTGACAAGTTTCTAGAATTCCCAATTTCTTGAGCTATCGATCCATTTAAAGAATTATAACTCAGATCGATGATGGAAACCGAGGGGAGGCGTAGAATCCCTTCGGGTATGGTTCCCTCCAAACGGTTAGAACTAAGTCGAAAACGAACAATGGAAACACATTTACCATAACTTTCCGGCAAGACACCGGAAAACATGTTGTCAAGTGCTAGCAAGTAAACCAACTTACCTCCGTTGCATATCTCCGGCGGCAATTCTCCGGTCAACTGATTTTCTGACAAGTCGAAGAGCATCAGAGGTGATGATCTCCCTAGATGCCGGGGAACTTCACCGGTCAAATAATTGCTGTAAAGGGATAGCATGCTCAAAGTCTTTGACTCCTCAAGTACGCGTGGGATTTCTCCGGTGAGACTGTTGTTGTAAAACTGCAACACTCTGAGCTTCGGCAACCGACATATGGATTCCGGCAGACTTCCGGTTAACTTGTTGACGGACATGTCGATATCAGTGAGCTCCGTCACGTTTCCGATCTCTTGAGGTATTTCACCATCTAGTTGGTTGTAGTAAAGCTCAAGCTGTTGCAAATTTCGAAGCAAACCAATTTCTCTTGGAACTGGACCCACTAGAAAATTTCCACTCAATTCAAGATCAACAAGTGACGTCATGTTCCCGATGGATTTCGGGATGGAACCACTCACCATGCAAGTACTCAAGATCATTGACCTAAGCTTTCTTAGTCGGAAAATATCATCCGGCAAGCTCCACAACTCAAACCCTACATTCTCATTGAAGTTAACCACTTCAAGATTGGTGAGGTTTATGAAAGACATCGGAAATTTTCCGGTGAACGAGCAGAAAGAAAGATCAAGTAACCTCAGAGAGGTCATTCGAGACAAGTCGGGCAGTTTTCCGGCGATATTCGTATGTGTCATGTTGAGTTCTTCAAGTACTGAACAGTTGGTGAGGCTGAAAGGGAAATCACCATGGATATCGTTACGGCCAAGATGCAAGCTTTTCAGTTGCGGCAGGTAAGAACATACGTTTTCCGGGAAGACGCCGGATAGATTCCATGCTGAAAGATTGATTTTAACGACGAATCCTTCATCGTTACAGCTTACGCCTGTGTAGTTGCAGGCGTTTTTCCCGCTTGTTATATCCCAGTCACTAAAAGAGTTGCCAGAAAAAGAACTCTTCATATGAATGAAGAACTCAGTCTGCTTCAAGATTGTGGTTTCATAAGAGCTCGAAAGTGAATGGAGAAATGCAAGAAAAAGGATGAAAAAATAGAGAAAACCCATTGGAGGATCGGTGGTTAAGCTTTCAAAAATGAAGGAAAAAACTGAAAAAACAAAAAGAAGTTGGAGTTGTTGTAGTTATGTTGGGTGATGCAGAAGAGAAGGTGATCAAGTGAAGAGATATTTAAATGGAATGATTGGTTGAATCATTGGGAGATGAAGGTATTTTGACGTATCAACTTTTATGTCATAAATCAATTTTTTTTTCCTATTAACTCGGATACTCAACTCGCTATACGAGCCAACTAATCGTACGACGACCACCTACTTTGCGAGTAACCCGAAGTTATCGCATTTGAACCCCTATGACCACAAGTGGACTTTTATTTCTCATTGAATTTGAACTTGAGACTTCCAGATACTTGTAACCTGTGGAACCCTAACTCAAATCAATCAGACACCAACTTATGGTTAAATAAACTTTTTTATGTAAATGTTAATTTAGCTCCTCTTTACTGATCTTATACATCATTTTTTATGTCTTGAATGTGCTAACAAAATTGGGTTTACTTATGTGAATTATGCAAAAGGTTTTTAGACATTTTAATAAGTTTATAAGATTCTTAAAATAAATGTCGTATAATAATAACTGATCCTATAAAAAAATGTGTTTATAAAACAATTCATAAAAGAGTAATAGTAAAAAACTAATACGATAATTTATTTAAAAGTGTACTAAAAACTAACTATAATGTCCAAAAAGTGTTTTATTGCAACACTTTTACTTGGAATACATAAATTGTTTGGTATTATAAACAGGGGCGGACATTCATGGAATGATACTATGGCATGTGTCACCACATCATGGTTCCGTCTAATGGGAAAAAATTGCCTTTATGAAAGGTGCCACAATATAGTTTTGGAAACTGAAATGTTAGTACAAGACTTTAATGATCGAGAAATGTTTATGTGCCTTTGTACAAAATGCATGGGTTTAATTCTTACGGTTGTCAAATTTGTTGGTTTTTAGCATAAATTTGGTGTTTTTTATACCTCATGTTTTTAAAAAATAAATGTAGACTGGACTCAAACACAAGTATCTTTTATGTAACGACAAGAAACCAACCAATATATATATATATATATATATATATATACACACACACTAATATTGTGAAAAAATTAGATATTTGACGTGCCACCACTTGAAAACTTTTCTAGATTCGTCTCTGACTATAAATAGTCTATAATTAGGATACTTGGACATTTCCGACATCCTATAAATCCGACTTTGTCAATTGTCATAGTGATATCGAAGTTAATTTTTTTCATTTTTACTAATGCGGTGATTAATTCGACTATAATAAAGTAGGTTCAAGTATGTAGTAGGACCCAATCGTTTTTTCCTTGTTCTTCTTCTTCACGCCACAAAACAAATGGGTTTTATCGACAAAAATTTTCGTCGGATTTGTGGCAGATCACGACGGATTGTTCCACCGGTGATGGTAAATCCGCGGGTCATAGGTGAAGCCTCTATGTTTTTGGTTTGGAGTCTCATGTTGACACAGTTGCATATATATATATATATATATATATATATATATATATATATATATATTTGATAAGTAATGGTCCATAGGAGGAGGTCTGGCATAAAGGTAGCTTTATGTTATACCCTCCCACTATGTGTTGTAGAGAATAACATCAAATGCGATGTTTGTTGCATCAGATGCTTACTACCACTTGTGAGTTCGATAGCCTATCCGGTCCTCAGCACGATATTCTTTGTGCAACGAATACCCATTTTTGAAAAATGTGCGGCTGGAGATCCCGATAGGCCTGCCCAATTGACAATATATATATATATATAGAAACGTTCAAATAAAAGCCACTTAATTTGTACAAATCGTGAAAACCATATTTAACCAATCATAATTTTTCATTTTGTTCATTTTTTTGTAATTATGAAAGATTGATTAACCATTTTTATTGTGGAGGATGTTAATCATGAATATTATCATCTTCATTATTTTAATTTTAGAGAAATACATGAAACAGTTTCATTAAATATTATATGAAACAATTTCATAACCATATATGAAACAAATTTATCAAAAAAGTATTATATGAAACAATTTCACAAGATTAAACAATTTCATGAAATTTTTTTATAAGATTAAACAATGAAATCGACGTATGAGAATGGTTTGTACGGTTTGTACAATTGAGGGTGGTTTTCATTTGATCGCTTCTATCTCTCTCTCTCTCTCTCTCTATATATATATATATAGAGAGAGAGAGAGAGAGAGAGAGAGAGAGAGAGAAGCGTTCAAATAAAAACCTGGCTCATTTATGTAAACCGTGTAAACTAATCTCATCCATCCATTTTCTTGATCAATGACCAAGATTAGTTTACTTTATTTTAGAAAATTAAAAAAATATATATATTAAAAATTTATTTTATTTCAACAATAAGGGCAAAAATGGTAAACAAAATTTAACATTTGATAACATCCTTCTCGATATTAATGACACTATTTTTATTTTTTAAAACAATATATTATTTTTAACTTCAAATCACATCCATCAATAAAACATATCAAAAAAAAAAAAAAAATGAATATAACACACCATATTCAATTAAATTTTGAATTACATGAACAAAATTGGTTTAAAAATTTAATCAACAGACTAATCCACGTAATACTCATCATATTTCGTAATTTTCATTATACTGGTAGATGGATCTGTTACACTTAGATAATGAAATTTTTTCATCGATTACTGACTTCATAAAAGTTTATAATACAACATGAAATTGTTTCACTTATGCAACCATTTCACTTATCAGGGTCAATACTGTCATGAACCAGTTTCACTTTCATGAAAACTATTTCATGTACA